AGCATTTGGGGAGGGAGGATGTGGAGCATGTTCACTTTTGTTCTTCACTGGTAAATAGTGGGTTTTTTTAATATTAACACCATGCCATATTGGATATCCTCTTGTCTTCTCTTATTGCACCAGGGCCAGACGCCATTCGACGTGGCTGATGAGGGACTAGTTGAGCATTTAGAAATGCTGCAGAAGAAACAGACTGTGGTGAGTTTCTGGCAGATCATTTTCCACCTCTCCAATTACCTTTTCATGCACGGGTGTTTTCTAAGACATATGGCGTCAACAGACGCAGGAAGCTGAGGCCCAGCTATTTTTTTTATGTTAGTCATTTGGAACCTTTAATTACACCAATATTTTTAATAGCTAGAAATCTAGAAAACTGGATGACTGCATCAAGAAGGTCAGTAGCGTGCTGACATGCAGAATTATGTAAACTGGTAAGGAATGTATAGTTCATCTTTGGAACTGTTATTATTCTGCAGTTGCTTGTGTTAGCTGGCAAGCTCTCTAGCATCAAACTGCTCTTTTTCTAATGAGTGATTACCCAAGTTAACTTTATGTTTGCATCTAAGGAAATATGCTGTCAGTGTTGAGAAAGAGATCTGTTACCATGTCTGCCTTCCTTACAACAGGGAGACTTTTGATTGAGTGAGGAGAAATTATAAACTTCAGGGAATTCTGGACTAAAATAACTGGTGATTTCAAAACCATATTAAATTGCCATTTCATAATGCAATGGAGATATTGGAAGGGGTTATAAGCAGAAATATATCTTGATCAAAGTAAAGCCAGTCGTCAAGCCAGAAAGTTGTTTTTGGATTGCATTTTTTTCCTATTTCATCTGGTCTACTCAATTATCTCATTTGGTTGCTTCCAAAAAACATACCAACCTAATTTAAAAAAATATTAAAAAATCAGTAAGTATCATTTAAAACGTTGGATTCAGAAACAGACATAATGAGAACACTGCTGATAAAACCCAGTAAAGTATTTTGAGGAACTGACAATGTGGGTGGTAGAATTCAAGCTCTGATCATAACACAGCTGCTGTCATCCTTAAATAGCATCCTTAACATTCACAGAAACTTTTTAAAAATTAATCATCTTCTCCCTAAATGAGGTGTTGATAAATACTACCAGTGTTGTATTTTGGATTTCCTCCTATCTCACTACACCAGGATTCTGCAGATAACTGCACTTCTCAGAAGAAAAGAAAAAGAAAGAGCAAAACCACGACAAGAATTTTTTTGGATGGGTGCTAGCCCATTTTTAGGCCTGCTTCGCGGGGGCCAGCAACCCTCCTTGTTCTCTGCATAGTAGCACTATGTAAAGGCCTTCTCCATTTGTAAATTAGTGTAGCAAGCTATAGTAGAACTGGGAAGAAGAGAAGAATACTGATTTTATCATACTTTTTTTTTAGCAGATATGTTTTTTTAAATAGAAATGCCATTTTATCGTGTGTGTTTATCATGTGCCATTTTTCCTCACTTAAAATAGAAAACTTCTATTTGTTAAGGATGAAATAGGCAGTTCCACGACATTCCTCGAAGTACATTGTTTGACTTTCAAAATGGCTCTCAAATCAGATTTTTTTTTTTCTTTAATCTAAAGCTTGTAGTGGAACAATATGCCATCCATACTAAAAGATTTGCTGCTTTTATTGGAGAGAAAAGGGGATTTTGTTTGCTGGAAGCAATTAGTTTGATTTGGGTTTGGATTTTTTTCCTGAACCTCTGAATTACCTGTGAATGGAGCAGGCTGTTTCCTGCACTTCCCTTTGCTGTGCTCCAGCAATTTGTTCTATTTAACAACATGCTGTACCCAAAATTTTGGCTCTTTGCTGGACTCCATGTAGCTTTTCCCACATTCAGAATTTGCAGAGCCTTTGCTTCTTGTGCCTGGTGTCAGCTCCTGTCAAAAGAGGAAGAATAACTTGGCTAGACATGACACAAAAGAGAGACAGCCTTAAAAGCGAGCCTCTAATTGCCATCCCTTTTTCTACCTCAACTGTCTCTGTGCTTCTAGAAGGTACTGAAAAAACTTTTTGGTTACTGTTTTGTCCATCAGTGGTGACAAAATTAATATTGCTGCTCTCTGGGCAAAATATTTCACTTGCTATGGTGATGACAGGTATTCTTGTGCGATGACTTAATGCTAGCATTTGAGAGATTTAAGAAGTGACCCATCCTCGTGGGAGATCCATTGGTTGCCTGTACAGGGCATACTTGAATGCTTTCCTCTGAGAACAAGTAAATAATAGCTACAAAGGCAGCAAATTTTTAACTTAATCTAGCCTGATTTCATGGGCATACAAACACATGTGGACAGCCCTCCAGCGCTGTGTCTGCGTGGGCAGATGCAGGGCAGTACTGTGGAAGTCAGTATTCGACTCTGGGTCTCAGCAAGGACTGCTGCAGACTTCTCTGAAGGTTTTATTAAATTGCAGCTTGAGTCTAAGGACATGCTGGGTGTGTAGCTGTGCCCTTATGGAGCTCTAGTCCAAGACATCCAGTGCTCTTACAGACGTGCGTCTGTTGAATTGGCTTGTTAAACAAGTCCACAGTATTTTTCATCTAATGAGGTTGGGATGGTCTTGTGCTGTGGTAGTTATTGGATTGTGCTGAAGTGGCTTGTTAAGATGTCTCTTTTCTTTCTCCAATCTTCTTGGACTTTTTGACAGTTACGAAGTGAGAAGGAGACGAGGAATAAGCTAATTGAAGCTGACATGAACGGCAAGCCTCAAAGCGGACTCTTCACCAAGTACGTCTCTTTCCTCTTTGTTGAAAAGGAGCTGCACGGAGAGTAATGGGAGACCAGCTTCATCTGTTAGCAGTCAGCTGGCATCAGCTGGTTGAAAAAAGTTCACTGCTGTTCATGTTCATTTCATGGTTTCTTTTAAATTTGAGCGCTCTCAAATACAAATTTAGCTGTTTCTTAACATACCCACTGAATGGTAGACCAAGGAGTTGGGCTGGTGCTTTGTCCCCCAGCTTCTGCTCTTGCTGAGTATCAATTTGACCTTTGGGCTGAGAACTGCACCTTTGCAGTTGCGCAGAGCCATGCAGCCCAGCTGATGGGTTGTGTTGCACTAGCAAAAGACACACCACATTTTTTTGGACCAAGAAATGCTTGCAAATTTAGGAAATGCGAGACTGGCATTGGAATCCATAGCAAATGGGCAGTGCTGGAAGTGCTGGGATGTTGAGTCTGTAGATGGATTTTGTCCTTTTGCTTGTTCTATATATAGCAAATCATGTCTGTTCCTGAGAAGTAGAATTCAGAAATAACTCGCTTGCCTGGTAGTCCTTAAAATTTCCGTGTCTTGCAGCAAAGAGAAGATTCTTTATGAGGAAGACATGCTGAAGTCCTTGGAAATGGAGGAAGAGAACAAGGACTCTAGCAGTTCTAGTTCTGAAGAAGAGGAAGAAGCTGAAGAAGATGAAGTTTCAGAATCAGATGCTGAAAAGGAGACAGGTAAGACTTAGTATAGTCTTGGATTTAATAATTAGCCTAGCAATTTTAGGGGATCAGTTTGAGAACTGCTTTTTTTTTTTTTTTTTGCTTAGCTGTTAAAGACATCCTGAAAGGCTTACTTCCAGTGTACATGTATAGAATATGGAGAACTCTGTAGCTAGTGTGCTAAAAAAGCTGATCTAAATGCTGACTCCCAAGTCAGCATAAGTTTTCCAAAAAAAAAAGCTGCGGATAGTATTTAAATTTCTACTTCCAGCTCACTTGAATTCAAGATAACACATTGCTCACAGGTCGTTCTTAAACAGTAGGTTTTTTCTCATTGGCTGATTTCAGGATGAACACTTCAGTTACTGCAAGATGGTAGAAATGCAATTGAACACGTAGGAAGGTGTTGTATTTGGATGGGAGAAATGAAATGAAGGGCTGAAGCTGTTCTATGTAATTATAGAGATGAGGAACTTTTTTCTGACTGTGATGTATAATAATCGCAGAACATAGTGGAAAATAAGGATTAAGTACACCGAGTCACATTAGCCTTTACATTATAGCATATTGCTGGCATCCTACTTCCTTCGTTTCAATCTCATTCTTTTTCCATAATTTCTAAGGCTTCCTTAATTAGTTTAAACAGTGTATATGTGCAGCGCAGAAAGTTTAAATAAAGATGCTTAATTTTACAGTAAGTCAAGACTTACTTGTACTTAATATTTCTGCAGAGAGAGATGGATCTTGGACTATGATGTGTTTAATGGTTAAACTACTTTTAATATCAGCTCACTTGGCCTATATCCCACTATACTCAATAAGTACTTGCAGAGAAGTGTAGTTTAAAGTTTTTTCCTGCTTCTTGTGCCAGTAAAATTGTCACCTGTGTTCTAATTGTATCAATTACGATGTTTATCTCGGTATGAGAGGTGTTGAGAATCCTGGCTGGTCTTTGCAGAGCTGGTAGTTACAAAAGCTATTTGGGTATGACAGTAACACGGTGAAATAATCTTTTGGCTTTTCAATCAAGCAAATGTAGTGGAGAAGTCAGTGGTAGAAACAGGCATGCAGTAGAAGTCACATTTATTTCCTCCATAAATCAGGGTTTTACTAGGCTGCAGCCCTGTATAGCTATGTGCCAGTTCTTGTAAACGTGGTAGGAACTTGACCAAAACACCTCTAACATATGTATAGCTATAAGAAGTGGAGCTACGTGGTGTTTAACTGATTCAGGAACAGCATAAGATCCTTCAGCAAGGAAAGTGCTACGGCACTCGGCATTAAATTTTGTGTAAAGCCAGAGCAGGTCTTTTTATTCGGTTACTTCACTGAGCAAAGCACATTATACTAATCTATTTCAAACCACTAAAGCTAAAACAAATCGAAGACAAAAAGCATTCAAGTAATGATTAAGCATCAAGCTTCAGGCTTTGTTACCTGTGCTCTCCTTTCCTAGTGAGATAATTGGCTTCTTTGAGAAATTTCAATCAGAATTGAAACCTTACCTTGTAAAGTTCTCAAGTCTCTAAAATGAACATGACCTTGTCCAGCTGGATGTAGACATAGTTGTCAGTTGTTGCATATGTGCATGGGGTGCACATTTTCGGTACTCTTTTTAAAACAAGGTTCATGAGATAACATCATCAGCCCACATGTTACTCCAAAGAGAAGCAGGGATGAAAATAGCTTTTCACAGAAAATTATAAATGTCACAGTATTACTAGTTTCAAACACAATCTTAAAAACAATTATGCTTTATTATCTGCTAGACATTTGAAATGCTTGGATGGATATAGGAGGCAAGTTTTTGAAAACATGGAAATTATTTCCTTATTCCTCTTCATTTCTTCTGAGACTTAATATTCACATAGCTTTGTAATTCTAAGCAGTGCTGGACAGATAGAAGATGACTGTTGTCCTGAAGTGTCCAAAGTCTAAATGAAGGGAAAAAAAAAAGCCAAAATATTGTTATGAGTGATCTTGTTAAATCAATAAAATTTAACTCCTCTGGTAACTGAGCATAAGGCGAGACAAAGCAGAAGCTGGCAGTATAATACAGAAGTTTATTTTTAGGTATGTTTTGAAGGGTCTCAGGTTGTGATACATTTGTGGAATTTGCAGAGACTGTGGAAGGAGAAGAAATTTGAAGAGGTGAGCAGTGAAATTGTTGGAGTGCCTCAGAGTACCATGTTTCTTACAATCTGTAAGAAATTTGTGTTCTTCAAACAAAAAAAGCTAAGTGCAGTAATGCCATTTTATTCATTGTGAGGACAATTAACAATTTGGCATTGGGTTGTATATAAGCAAGAGAAAGATCAGTATAAAATTCTATGGTCATTATCTGTGCTGGTAACTATTACAATAGGTAATTATTGTGAATTAAAGCAGGCCAGGGAAGCTTTCAATGTTTTAAAAAAAAAACAAAACAAAAAAGGGAAACCCCCCAAAAAAACCTTAAGAAAAATTACATTCATGCCAAATTAGAGAACTAAATTTTTGGTCTCACCAAATTTGTTTTTGGGAGATTGAGCTAATCCTGACCTGTTTCCCTTGATTGGAATTCATAACGTTTACTGCTGAAATTTTAGTAAAATGTGGGATCCTCCCCTAAAGACAATGACGCCTATGGTCATGCGGTCTCTCACGCTGCCAGTACAAGGTACTTTTGCCTGTCCTTCTTCTGCAATTGACTCCTTTCGGTCACACTGCTCACAGTTAGAGTTCTTTCCAACCTGTCATTACCACTTAAACTTGTGCCCTTGTAATTAGGCTTGACCTTAAAAGTTGACCTCTGTACTATAAACTTCCAGAATGGGCTAGCAGTCACCATCTAGCCCAGCCTGTAAAGCCTGCTGGCTGTCAGGTCAGGTTTGTTCTCCCCTTCCTGCAATGTCAAGGATTCTCCTGTGTTTTACAGGCTTCACTCTCAAGAAATCAGCAAATGGCAAGCATGTAATTTTTTGTCTGTATGCATTTCCATGGACTGCTGAATGCCAGGTCAGGCCTGCAAGGAGAAATGGGTAATCTGCTGCCCCTTCCTAAAAGGGGTGTTTGAAAGCGTAATGCATCTGCGTGTTAGGCTCAAGAAATGAAATACTCTGTTTAGGTGACTTTGGGAGTTCTGAGATAACACAAAGAGAGGGAAAGGTAGCTGAGGCTTCAATATCATGCAGACCTTCCTAGGGGAGATGCATCTTTGTCTCTTTAATTCTGGATCTGTCAGTCCTGCTAACTGCCTGTGATTTTTAAATGTTTCTCTTGGCTTGCTCTTTTCTGTTTTCCATGTCCTTTGAATCCTATATTCTAGGATTGAGAACATTCTTTCTGAAACAAGTGATCTTTGTGCTCCAAAGTGCCATCCTCACAGGCACTCCATACCAAACTGCTTTTTATATGTAATACAAGATCTTTATTCACTGCACATACCTCATTTGCTAGTACTGTTTGGGTGGTTACACTTAAAATGACTTTGTTTGCTCAAAACCATGACTGTGTGAGGCACTCATAGCTGTGAGAGGAAAACGTTGTTTTATTGGCGTAGGTACATCATTTCTCAGGCACCTTGCATGTGGCTGTGTCTGGTAAATAGTCTGTCTTCGAGCCCTGTGCACTCCTGTCAATTGAACCTATTGTCTGAGACATAGTTTCTGCTTACTCTCCCCCTGGTAATGTCTGGTGGATGTTCTTATGTCATGCATGGCGCATAGATACCAGAACAATTTTAATACTGGACGATTGCACTTGTCTAACAAGCAGGGAGCCAGCTGTGAGCTTTGATAGCGTTTGCTTAGCTTGCTTTGAGCCCTGTTAAAAATTTTTTTTCTTGGGAATCAGTTGTAGCTTCGTGTAGAAAAATGGTTTTTCCTGTAGAAGACCAGAAATTCTGCCCACCAGCATAAGCAACTGCAGCAGAACTGTGCAATGAAATCCACCCCCAGGCCCACTCGGGGACGTGTGCTATAATGCATACTCACGTACTGCAATAGGAATGGCATGTTCTGCTTTTCTTTCTGAGTGTTACAAGGGAAGAACAATCCCTGAGAGGGAATAAAATTGTGAATAAACAAAAAATCTGTTTGTTCTCCTTAAGGTGCTTTCTGCAAAGATTTTGCTTGTCTGGGGGGGATGAAGTTCAAAAGCTTTGCCTGGCAAATACTTCTTAGTAAGTAGAAAGCCTCCTTGCAGAAAGCCCTGGTTAGCCTTGGCACTGACATCATCTTTATGATCTAAGGCGTACTGAGGTCACAGCAACTCTGAACTTGAGTTTAGTGCACATTGTGCTTGTAAAGAAGGGCCTTGGAAGTGCAATACTGAAACATTTGGTTTCTCTTCTTGTTTAAAATTGTAGAAAGGAAGGAAGAGCCCTTTGCCAACCACTCCAGCCATGAAACCAGGCCTAGCATCACTGAGCAAATACCACCACCCGAGCCCAACTCCTTCACTGCATCTGCCAGAAGAGTAAGTGAATTTGGAATCAATGGGGACTCCAACAGAGCTTGAAAGCCGTAGGTTTTTCTGGGAAATGGACACTGAAACCGATTTTCAGAGCAGTTGTAAGACATGAATTTAGGAAAGCATGATAGTATGCAATTTCGATAAAGATGCTGTGGGAACAACAGTATAGGACTAGCACAAGGGTGGATGTTTGTATGATAAGGTTCCCCTTGAATCTCTTACCCTCTGAAGCAAATTCCGCTGTTCACAAGAGGAACCCTGCTTACCGCAAGTGCTTTGTGTTGCTGTCAGTTCTGAGATAGTTGATGCCAATCTCTTACCAGCAGGAGATCTTTCACCAAAGCTGGATGTATCAGCAGTGAATTTGGCATCATCATCTAAAGTGCCTCTGACTTGCCAAACTCAGTTGATTCAGTGGAGTGATGTTACGGCCCAGTAAGCAGAGAGGATGAAGTTTGCATCTGACTAGATAGCTAGGCTGCGAAAGCTTTTTGAGGGTGACGTAGAGTTACTGAAATCTTACCTGAATTCTCCAGCTCTCACGTCAGTCAGCTAGATGGCACCAGGAGACTCTTGTGTTCTGCTGAGGACTGGTGTCTTATGCTTCTGGTTTCTTTTTGCACCAGAATATGGAGGACAGCTATACAATGCAGGCATCTTGCCAAAGTCTGAAGCACTAGGTACATGTTAGAGGGAGAATGTTTATTGCTTAGTCACAACTTTTTTTTTTTGACATGCTACTAAGTCTAACTTCTTGTCCAGATCAAATGAAATAGAGCTCCTCTGGGCGTTGTTCAACTCAGGCTGACTTAGCAGGGGAAGTATTAAAGGTAGAAGGATACTGGGAAGTGTGAGCACTTCAGTTAACCTTTTCCCAGCTGCAAAGTATTGTTCTCACTCATTTGAGCTGTTTAACCCAGAATAAGGCTGTTAGGGTATAGAAGAGGGCATGTGTGAAAAGCAGTTATTAATTTGACCTCAATCACTTAAGATTGGCTACTTTACCTTGTCTTACATGTTTGATTCTTCTGTAACTCTCTTTGTCAGATTGGGTTTTATATGGGAAAATATGAGTGCTTGTGTTGCCCTCCATTTGTGGTGTTATTAATATTTGCTGTTCCAATGTTGTTCGGAAATTACAGAAGGCAGCTTTTACTGTGGATTTGAGCTTTCTCTGAGGCAAGTGTCAAAACTACATTAAAGCGTTAGAGCTGTGTAGTTCAGTAGACTGGAAGTGCTAGAATTAGTGGAGTACAGGAGATTAACTCTGTGCATCTGCATTAAAATAACATTAGCTAAGAAACACTGCTAAAATACTGCAGTGATAATTTTATCTTTGCAGTCTTGAATCAATGAGTTTGAGGGCAGAGCTCCCCAGTAGCTTCATTTATTCCAGATAATGTCAGATGTTTTGTGTTATGTAGAATATGGTATAATAATGCTTATATCAGCTTGACCGAAAGCCTTGTCTACCCCAGTATCCTGCCCTTGACAGTGACCATCAAAAGATACTAGAGAAGACAGAGTCCAGCTGGACTTCTCTCCCACCGTCTAGCAATTTGCATTTCAGGGACTTGCTGAACCTGTGGTATTTTTTGTATTCAGTAGACTTTTCCTCTATGAATTTATGCAGTCACTTCTTGAGCGCCCGTAATGTTTGGGATCCTATAATGTCCAGTGGCAAAGGGTTCTTCAGCTTAATTATATATTATACAGAGCTTCCTGCGCCTGCTTCTTTAAGCCTGCCACACGCTGGTTTTGTTTGCTGCCCCTAGTTCCTTTATGGGAAGGAACAAAGAATCATTGATCCTTATTCACCCTTCTATGTGCCACTGAGGATTTTGTGTACCTTGGTCATATCTCAGCCTGGAGACTCTTGATACACTGAATAACTCCTCATACAAAAGCTCTCTTGCTCTACTCATTCTTGTTGCCTTTCTCTGAATCTCTTCTCCTTCTTCTATACTGCTTTTGAGCTGTGGAGCTGAGCTGTGCGTGATATCAAAGGTGTGATTGTACCCTGCAGTAACACAGAGGCATAATGGTGTTGTGTTTCATATTCTGTTCTTTTCCAAAAATTCCTAATGTTTTGTTTGCTTTATTTCCTATACAACTTGGTGTTGAGCCCCTGTCTTTGTAGAAGTATCTCTTGCGGTGCCCAGGCTCCATTCTTGAATGGCAGTAGGCATCTTTAAGACTTGATAACTATAACTAAGGTTGTACATTTAAGCAGTTGTATATTTGAGGAATAATATATGTTTGTCAGAAGTACCTCATGTAACAGAAAGCATGAAGGTATGTATAGAATATGCAGTTACCTGACCATAGAAAGGTTTAAGCTAGAACAGGCCTCTGCAAGCCTGTAGTCCAACCTCTTGCTCAAAGCAGGAAAACTTCAAGCCTATGTCATGTTGCTTTGAACTACCTGAGCTCAGCTGAGTACTGAAAAGTCTCTGAGGATGGAGATGCCCCGCTCTCTTGCTCCTTGTCCCAGTGCAGCATCGCTCCTACCAGGAGGTATGTCTTCCTTCATGTCAGTTGGGATTTCTCGTGTTGGAACTTGTCTCTGTTCCTCCTTCTCCTTTCACCATAGACTGAGAAGAAGTCTGGTTCCATGTCCTCTGTAAACCCCACCCCCCAAGTTAGTACAGCAATTAAATCCTTTCTTTGTCTTCTCTTTTCCATGCTAAACAAGCCAGGTTTCCTCAGTCTCTCCCTTTATGTGTTGTGTTCTCCAACTCCCTGATGATCTTAATGGCTTCTCCTGGACTCTCTCCAGTTTGATCTGTGTAAGGGTTTTATTTGCAGCTAGTCCCAAAAGAGTAGATTACCTTTTTTGGGTTTCTGCCTTTACTGAATAATTCCCCCTTCCTAAACGGGTGCTAATAAAAGCTTCATTGTTCCTTATATTCTTTCTGCAAAGCTGGAGGAGGGCATTGTGTAGGCAAAGGGAGCTGCACAATGACACAAGATTTCTTTCATCGTCTGTCCTTGGGGATGAGGGCACTACAGCAGTTTGCATCCCTGTGAGTTCATCTTGAGCTATGCCCTGTAATTAAAGCTAAGCAGGAAATCAAAGTCACTCCATCTGACGTTTACAGGTGTAGCTGAGAAAAAATTGGGGCTTGTTGAAACACTTTCAGAACTTAGATTGTGCCTTGCAGTGCTCTTACTTCTTCCAAATGTCCCTTTTTCTCCTCTACAGTTCAGTTGGCTCAGCAAGTCAGATGAGCAGAAGGATGAGTCACCTTCATCGTGGCGGCTGGGACTACGGAAGACTGGTAGTCACAACATGTTGAGTGAAGTCGCTGCTACTCGTGAGGCGCAGAGAGATAAGACTTCTTCTATCTATCGTTCTTCGTCAAGTCCTCGGATATCTGCATTATTAGACAACAAAGAAAAGGTTTGGCTTTCAGCAAAGATGTTTTAGCACATCCCAGTTGAGCAGACTTCACCTGACAGGTTTAAGACCCTTTCCCTTTTGTTTTGAGTTATTGCAGGGTTTTGCATCCATAACAAACTTAGGTCTCTTCCATTCTTTCTTTTTTTTCTTTTGAAAATTATTCCTATCCTATCAGTTGTTCTGGCAGAACTGGAGTTCGGTGCCCCTTTGACCTAATTCCTGCTCGGTTTGGAGTGGGCTGCCAGTGAACAAGAGCTGCTGGTCTGGCATGGCCCATTCTTTACCAGAAAATAGCTAATCCAGACAGTAGCACATACCTGCAGTGGAAGTTCTCCTTCACTGTCATCTATATGGATTCCTCCTGTATCCACCAGCTGTATTTGTGAATCCCAATCCCATCCCATCCCGTCCCATTCACTAGCTGCAACTTTGCTACCCGTGGGTAGATGCCCCATCCCTGGAAACGTTCAAGGTCAGGTTGAACGGGACTCTGAGCAACCTAATCTAGTTGAAGATGTCCCTGCTTGTTGCAGCGGGGGTGGACTAGATGATCTTTAAAGGTCCCTTCCAACCCAAACTATTCTATGAGTCTCTAATTTAGAAGTAGTTCTAGTTAGAAGCTGCTTTTATTCACTAGAGTGCTCTTCAGGAAATAATTTTCAGAAATGATACTTTTATGCTGTGGTATGTGTTGCCCAATAAAATGCCTTAAACCAGTTGTCCTTAGACAGGAGAATACTTTCTCAGCTGAAGAAATTTGAACATGAATTTAGTTGTCACTGAACGTGCTGGAAGTTTAACAGATGTGCAGTTGAAGTACTTCTTTTGCTTCACCAGGATAAAGACAACAAGAGCTATCTTGCCACAATAGCCCCCAGAAGACTGAGCAGTACGAGCGATATAGAAGAAAAAGAAAACAGGTGAGACTGACTGAACTTAATGCTCAGCTTCTGTCCTGTCAACAGTTCCTGCAGAATACCTTTTTTTCTATATTCATGCTTCATATATTTTCTCAGCAGTCCCAAGTGCATGGGAATTCACAATATCGAGAGCTATCTCTGATCTATAAAAGTTCTGGTACGTTGCTTTTCATTTAGGTGTGCAGGGCAACAGGCTGGTTTCTCCACCCCTGTGTTCCTACTTACATGGTCTCCATCCAGGAAACTAGATTTACGCATACTTTTTCCTTTTATATGCAAGTGCCTCATTTTGTAGCTGGCACCTACACTTGTACTTCTGTCACTTGCTCAATAGTCACCTTCAGTCCCTTTGTTCACACATCTGTCATTTTTTGATTCACTTGAGTTTGTGAACTCTCTTGTGCATGGAACTGTTTCCATTGCAGGGGTTGTTTTTACAGTGAATGTGTGTAGCTGCCCCTGGACAGAACCGCGGTATAAATGGAATAAATATCTAGTATCTCAAGATACAATTGAGGAGCTAACCTCTACAAACAGGTTCTTCAGAGTTTGTGCAAGAAGGAGTAAAATTTGAGCTTAGCCTCATTTCCAGCCCCTTCCACAATCCTGGTAGAAAGGCACACATAGAGAAGTCATTGTGAATTGTAGTTGCTGTGAAGAAGTCAGGGCAGATGACCACCCTGAGAGAATTTCAGCACAGTTTGAGATTCTTTGCTGATCTTTTGCTGGAACCTCCCTGCTGTGTTCTTGCTTAATCTCAGCCAGTCACTGTGATTTGGAGTTTAGCAGACAATTTGTGTCTGCTGATAAGCTTGAGCAGTTTTGGCAGTCGCTCGTATTGAGTGGCATATCCGGCTGACTGCTGATAAATGTCCTTTGCTTGGTAAAGTAGGGAATGAGGGGAATTGGCTTGCATGAACAGATGGTGCCCAGATGTACTGTGTAGTACAGATTTTTCCCAATATTCTTTCCTTTCAAAACAGCTGAGTTTCACTTCACGGAACCCACAGGTGTCTGAAAGGGCATCAGCATGGACACGGCAACTGAAAAATGAAAATTAATGCAGGCTGACGAGTGAATGGATTTGTGTTGCATTACAAGCTTGAGGTCCTGTCCAAGACCAGAAAAGGACAAACTGCCAAAGTGTGTATTAGGAAAAGGAGCCCTGATTTCAGATAACTATGATAAACAGAACTACTAGTAACATTGATAACTTGTCAAGTAGTTTTAGGTATTGCCAAATATTTTGTTTGTTGTTTTCTGCTGCTAAGTATAGCAAAGGATTTGCCATACTGAATTGCTTTACTGTCGTTGCCTGGATACCTTGGAGAATAAAAACTTCCCCTGCAGTTGCAATATCTGTCCATTTATGCAATGTTGTTTGATACAAGACGGCAGAGTCTTGTAACGTCATCAAATGACGTTATTTAATATGTTAAATTACTTTTATGGACAATCTAAATTCTAGTTGCAAGTTTTCTGACTAAAAAGGATCTTGTTCCTCTTTATGTAAAACATTACCTCATCTGGTGATTCTTAAGTAATACAGCTGGCAATAACAGAAACTGATGTTAAGGCCAGAAGAGGTGTTTCAGTGAGTTGTGTCACCTGTGAACAGCAGTGCACATAGGTGTAAGGGAAGGATTTGTGTTGTGGAACTGTAAAGGAGCCAAAAACAGACTCCAAAAGTTTTTCTAAACAAACCTTGTGCTCTCTCCTGCATTAGAGAATCAGCTGTTAACCTAGTGCGGAGCGGCTCTTACACTCGGCAGCCATGGAGGGATGAATCAAAGGGAAATGAAGCTCCCCATTCTGGTGCACCTACTACCTACGTATCTACTTACTTGAAAAGGTATGTCCATTTCTGTCTTACATGGGTTCCCAGGCAGTCAGTTCTACTCCTAACAGGCCTCCCAAACTTCAGCCTTCTGCTTGCTGCTTACTGCATCAGTGTAACTGGCCTTGGGACACTCTTCTGCTGAGAGCAGGAAATAAAAATTTAAGATTTACCGACATTTGTCATGCTAAATAGTATTTTTAAAGGCCATCATTTTTGTTGATTTGTAAATTGCCGAACTAAATTTAAATACTCTTGTTCACATAATTCAAATGCAAAGTGTTTTCTCCGTTTTATGCTAGTATTATGGTTAGATAATAAACCAAAAATTGATCATAAAAAGAGAATAAAGTAATTACAGTTTGAAAGCATTGTTCAAATAGCTATTGACAGGTAAGTTGTAGCTCATCTCTAATTTTGGTTTATATTAGTCCATGTTTATGGCATCGTTATCAGAAAAGTGGCAGTGTTCTTGTGCATGACTTAGGGCACTTACTAAGGAGTGAGACTGATGTCTCCAACCATTTTCTTGTGGCATTAAAGAAGCAGTTTCTGCACAGTGTATGTGAAATTGTAGAGGCTGATTGTTGGTAAACTAGCTAAGCAGAATCAGGAAAGCAATCCTGTGCATAACTTCTTTAATAGCAGTATCTTTTACCCCTTTGGAAGGCAGAGGCTCGGTTTCCTTGAAGTACCAGACAATGGCTGTCTCTGAATGAGGTGAATGAATGCCCTGCTCTGTTAAGGCAAATAATACATTACTGAGTTTTCATCTCAGTTGTGACAAGGAGGATCAGCCCTTTGTGCAAAGTACGGTTCCATCACCTCACCTTTATTTTAGCTAATACTGGAAACCATCAAAACAGCATGTATAAGCGTGTCAAGCTGCAAAGCCATTTGATCTGTGCTTAAGGAAAAAGGCAGAAATATTTCAAGGTTTTAGATTGTGTTTCACCAAATTCTAGACCCTGAACTAAATAACTATCCTGAAGATGGAACAATTGCTTGAGATATTTGGGAAGAGGCATATTTTTTGTATTCTAGTACTTATGCTGGTAGAGGTAGGTTGTGCTTGAGGATATGTCTGTCCAACTGCTGAGCACACACAGACCCGTTTCCACAGAAGGTGAAACAGACAGCCGCTTCAAGCAGTAGACTTCTCCTGATCTGCTGATCATTCTTCACATCTGTCCTGGGGCATGATGACAGGCCAACCTCCATAGCTTGTCTCTCTCTAAAGGCAGTCCAACAAGCCACAGCTGATTACATTGGAAAACTTTTGCCTCTTGCTGCTGGCATGCCTTACTGTTCCCTAATTTGAGAAACAGTCCAGTCACTAACGTGGCTGTCTGTTTAAATTTTACAAACGTTGACTGTTTATCTCAGCTAATCCTGAACCAGATTTAGTATTACATTCACATAGTTGTACTGTATTCCCTTGGTTAAACTGTACAGAGACTAGCGAAGGTTTTGGCTGGCAGTGATATTTCACTAATACCAATTTCTTGTCACAAAGGCTGAATTCTGGCCTTTCATAGGAGAGTGTTGGTTTACAAGCAATTACAGAGAATAGCTTTGCCAGGTAGGAATAAAGTGTACTTTTTTTAAAGAGATCAATGGTTTTGCATCATATGTACAAACAGTAAAATCATGATCGATTTGATGTCTATCCCATATGGTTTTCTATAGAAGAGCGCAGAGAAATTAAATATAATTGTACTGAACCTCTGATTTCTTCGGCCTTGTGCATTAGCCTCTAAGATGAGGAAGGGAACCTGGTTGCCTGTTAAAGGATGAGCTCTTTGTCATTTCCAAGTATTAACAAAACTCTGAACACAACTCCAAAAGATAAAAGCTCATTCTGAGAGAGGAAGAATTAAAGTGAACATGACATATTTGGATGTTACTGAGAGGACGACTTCTGTACGTCTGTATTTACTCTTTAGCTTAGCATTTAACTAATACCAATAAAGATACCTATTTATGTTCTGCAAGTGCTTTATATGACCCCCAAACAAAGAGTAAACAACAGCAACAGATCATCTTAAGATGTTGAAAATGGCTTTTCTTCTAAAAGGGGACAAAATAACTTCCAGCAATGTTGCAAATGTTCTTCAGCTTTAGTTGAAGCAAATATTAAAGCGCTCTCTGTAATGGTAGTGTCTGTCATTCATTTTGCTTTCTCTATGGGTGTACCACTAGCCCAAAAATTCACAGAACCCTGTTCTGACAGCCTGTTCTCCGTTTCGGTGCATATTGGCCTTCAAACAGCCAGTTCACACCACTTGTATGTTAAAGGATTTGGAGGAAAACTGGCATAGCAGGTTGAATTAATTCAGCATACTTCCTTTGACATCAGCCATAAGAGATGCCTCACAGGAAGGGATCTCACACAGCAAAATGAGATCACTCTTTCACGCAGTTAGTTTCTCCTTCATTTTGTGTATTTGCAGATACACCTTCTTACTGGTTTTGTTCACATAAGAACCATCACAGTGAGTCAGGCCAACATGCAGCCCAGACTGTTTCTGACAGCAACTGGTTTTGAGAGACAAGTTGCAAAAGCTAGGATAACTTAAGAGCAGTTTTCCACCTCCCACACTCTCCTTGCTTCCAGCAATCGTGATTTTAGGAGCCAGGGGCTATACTTAACCATTGTTCTTAATAGCCACCACTGTGGCCAACTTCCATAAGCAAATCCCATTTTGATCTCTGCAATACCCTATAGCAGTGTGTTCAAAAAAAATAGTTATGTGTTTTGTGCAAACCCTTTTTATTAGCATATGTAGAAGCTTTTTAAGGTTTTGAAGGCTTTTAAGATTTTGAATTCTACTTGCCTTAGCTGTTTTCAGAAGTATTTCTTTTTATTGATTTGAAATGTTCCTTTCCATTTCATTGCTCGTTCCCTGATGGTTATGTTATGGTGATGGTGATAGAGAATGAGTAGCAGTGTGTCAGTGCCTTTTTTATTTCTAATATTGAATTCTTTAGCATAAATTCATAATCCTCCTTTTTGCAGATTCATATGAACACAGCTGTTAATTAACAAGATTCCCCGGCTAACCTTTTTCTTGCAATTTTCTGGTCCTCTTCACATCAAATGTGAACAATTGAATAAATGCCTTAGAGTCCTCCTCAAACTGTGCAATTCCACCCGTGCAAGGTGACGGGGTGGGGAGGTGAATTCCTGTAGAGCTGGCAATGCCTTGGCTCCCTTCTTGTGAGCAGGAGTGTATGCATGATGCCCCAGCACCACATTTCTCCAGTGCAGGGCATGTGTGTGTAGGAGTTGTCACAACGCCATCACCATGCTCTTGTCCTCCATTCCTCCTCCTCTTTCCCCTCTCAGCTCCCCCACATCTCTGCTCTACCAGGCACCTGGTGCTGCTTCCACCCTCTTGTCTTCCCTTTTTGCCCATTACCTTTTGCCCATTCCCTTCTGAAAGACGGTCCTTGTCAGGTCTTACTTAATAACATTCCCATGTCCTCCCTTCCTGACCAAGTTCCTTCTCTTTTTTGCAGTAACCCCTCATGCCCCAGCCTCTCTGCCTTGGGGTCTCCTAGGATGGTGCCACACCAACCCTGCTCCCCCCAGGGTTGCCACCACCTTCTCCCCTGCCACTCCTCTCGTTCCTTCGCCTGGCGCACGCTCCACTACCATCGTCTTCTCAGTACACTCATTTCTGCAACTTCATGGCTGCTTGCTCCGCACGCCCACACCAGCCAGGCTTAGCTCCCCGCTCTCACCCTCCTCCCAGCCCATCTCCAGGGCTTGGCCTTTTCCTCTGGTGCAGAGAGCCAAGAAGGGAGGCACTTGCTTCCAACAGGACTTCCTGCTCCCCAGCGCTCTGGGCAGGGGCCCACTTTCCAGAGGAAGCTTTGTTTAGGGTCCAGTGGAGGTTGCTACCTGGTGACAATAACTTACTTGTTCCTTTGTGACCTGGATATGGCAAGCAGCCATCAACTGAAGAGCCCAAATGTAAGGTTCCTCCCCGTGGAGGCCTTCCAGGATGCCCCAGTCTCTCCTTTGGCTCTCTAGGGACCAGCTGCTTGTTCTGGGCTGTCTGGAGGCCTTGGCATATAAAACTGATTTGTAAACTGGGTGCCTAAGTGGATTGGACTGGATCTTTTCCTCCGACCTCCTGTCCTTGGCTGTTGTCCTGCCCCTTTCAAGTTTTATTTCAGACTCGGGCTGCTCTCTCTGACTCTTGCTCTAGTGTTGACTTCCAGTTCCAGTCCATTGTCCCTGGCTTTCCCAAAAACCTGCAGCTCTTTGTCCTGGTCTGCTTTTCCTCTAGGTCAGCTTTTATTCCTGGTGCAACCACTTTTCGCCATGCTCCATGTGTGCTGGCATGGGAGTTGTTAGGATGCAGGAGGTGAGAGGCAGCCTTCCTAGCCTTTGATCCTGCAGACAGCCCAGTCTGACCAGTAGCAACCAGGAATACCAGTTGCTGGGAAAGGTGTGGCAGGGTCCTAGGTCATGCATGCACGCTCGCTTGCTCTGTGCAGACAACAAGCAGCCCGTATATGGGGCTCTGGCACATGCAATAAGGAGATTTCGCCAGATTTCATCAAGTCTGTTTTTAGAGGTCTGCAATTTATCCCCCTTAGAATAGATTTTCTCTGAAAAAGCAAAAGGGTACATCCTCGTATGAGAGCCCTTCTCCCTTTTCTCCTGTCTCTTCTCCAAAGTATGAGCATTTAAACAGTTACAGCTTTTCAGTAACAATGGTTTTAAAGGTTTTGTTTTAAACTGGCAAAATATATATTTCCCTTGCTGATTCTTGAATATTTTTTGGACAGTTTTGCTAGCTATTTTCCAGAAATACAGAGTTTGTGCCAAACATGCCTTAAAGAAAATTGAAGCCTGAACTGATCATCTTTGCCAAAGTTTTAAGCCACTAAAAACAAGTTCTTAAAACTGGAAGTCCTGGGCATCCTTAGGAGGTGATGCAGCCAGACCTGCTTATGTCACTCTCTCCTTTCCTGCTTTAAGCAACCTCATCCTTGCTCATTGTTTCTTCCTTTCCCCAGTACACAGGCGTGCTCTGTGTGCGCCACTTTCACTGTGGTGGGGTTTTTCCCTTCCCTGATCTTCCCCGATTCACCTCCACGCCGTTACTCTCTCACTGAAACTCAGCTGGGCTTAGCTACGAGGGGTGCTGCTAGTGCTAGCCTGCGTGAGCGACCTGCAGCAACTCCGGTGCACTCTAATCTCCTTGCAAACCTTTTGCTAAGATGTAATACCTGCTCCCTTTCCAGCTGAGAGCCCGGCTGTGGTGATGTTCTGTTGAATATTTACTGTGCTCTGAAGGACATGATTTTGTGATGTTTTACAGTGCTTCATTTGGTAGAAGTAGTGACCTCAGCAGTCCCTACATTTCAGCCAGTCGCAATACATCTCTAGCTACCTCACCCACTACCATTGGTTCATCTACCTCATTGGGCACCCCGTGGCAACCTGTCTCTTCCTGTCCCACATCTCTCGGTGCGAACACTACTGCATCAGCCCGCCAATATACCAGGTAACGGCTCACAGCTGAGATAACGCTGCAGAAAATCAGCATTTGGGTTGGAAGTTCTGAATTCTGGAGTGGATTATGGATTGGAAATGTGCTTCCATGCGGGAAGTGCTGATAAGAAATCCCAGAATGGTTACGTTGGACAGTTTCAGTAGTGCGTATGCACCAGCAGGCAGTTAACAGCCCATATGTGACCTTAGCTTCTTCGCTCACTGGAGTGGCCGATTGTGCCCTCTTGCTACCCTGTTAGAGAGACAATGTGTTGCTCGGGCTGCTCTTGGGTGTTCAGTGTACAAGCTCTTGGAGTTCATTCCTTCTGCTTATTCACCGGGTACATTTTCTAATCATTTTTGCTACGAACAGGGATGTGAAGACTATGAATTCCTCCTGCTTATTCTTCTACAAATTTTTAAAAACTCATTTTAATGTGTGCTGTTCTCTACAAAAACACGAGTCTAGAACGAGGAGAATGAACTGTCAATGCTCCCTCAAGGTGGCTGGTCTCGCTCAGCAGTTGAGTTCACTTGCTTTGCTTTCCATTATGTCTTCTCTATTTCAGAGCCCCTTTCAGGCCACAAACTGATTCTGCTGTAGAGAAAAATACAGAGGGCATCTCTGCTAGCACCCCCCTAGGTGTAATCACAAATCGTGCTATACTCGGCTCTGCTAATGGTATTGCGAATGCCGGTGCTGCCTCAACTACAGGAAAGGACTTCTCAGCTGAGGAAGCCAGGGAGCGCAGAAGGTTAGTGAGCAGAGTGCCGGTGTGTGTTGGGCCTCCTCTATCATCAGGTCTCACGTGGTGGTGATGGTGGGGGCGTAAGAACGGTTTCTTAGGTGCTATGTGGAGTTACAGGCAGGAGCTGCCCCTGCTCCATCTTAAGGTTTTGAACTGAATCATCTCTGGATTGTAGGTTAAATTGAGTTTCATAATTTTCTACTTGTCTTTTCAGCATCTCGGCCTTTTTCTTCAGTAGCCATCTCAGCTACTAATCTCAGTCCCTAAGGCCTCTATGTATAGAGCGACAGACAGCCCAGTAGCCACTTGCAGTAGGTTCTGTAATGTGAATCCCATCCGAAAAAGAGCATTGGACTGAGACGCATTCAGATAAAATCCATCCCTCCAATCCAGCTCAGCTAAGTTTACATATGCCCCGATGGAGACATCTTTGCTGCAAAAGTCCCCCAGGTTCCCTCAGTCCTCCAACATTCCTGGAGCGTGTAGATGTGCAATACAGGAGGAGATGGGCTGCACTCTAGCAGCATGCATTTCTTTTGATTGATTATAATGGAAGACTTAGCACAGAGGTAGAAGTCTACCATGTGCAACCAAGGCTATTCCAGCAGTAGCAGCATTTTTAATTACTCTGAATCTAGGTGGTGGTATCGTATGATGTTATTTCAAGACTGGGGAAATATAAACCTGGGGTAGCTGCTGCTCTTTTCAAAGGAAATTTACCTTGTGCATTTAAGTACAGAATATCAAATGATCCATATTTATTCCTGCAAACACGTTAACTTTTGCAAAATCTGACTCTTCTGATGAAAGTAAATGGTAGTAAATAAAACGCAGCAATGAACTGTGTATTTCTAACTAGCAACTCGTTCATGGAGTGTTTTCGGTAATTAGATTCTTCCAAACTAAAATAATAACTTCTTAAAATACAGACCTTCCTGAGTGGAGATAGTACTCTGACATATTTTAAATGGCCTGAAGCCAAAGGATGTGAAAGACAATAATGGAAATTATCAGCTTGCAAAGATAAAGATGGTAGAGCACAGCAGTGCCATGTAATCTGCAGTCAGCCACATGACCAGCAAGAAGGGCATGCTTGCTGCCAGCTTCGCTTTGCTTCAGCTGCAGTAAATCCAAGAAAGAAGGTGGTCTGTGCAGTTTGGAAAATACTCAAACTTTTATTGCTGTTTTGGGCGTTTTTCCTTTTTTTCCAGAGCTAGCACTGGGTGTGCTTTGAAGGTATTGTAAGCGTTCTGGATGAGCCACATTCATCAACTCTGTATGCAGGGACATAATTTGAAATAGCTACTGCAGAGTATCTTTGCAAGAACACTTAAGTTTAATATTAGGAGTGCCTCTGTATGCTCCTTGTCATTTTGCTAGGGGTCAGTTGGCTTGGTGTCGTTCGCAGTTGAATTGAGATGAGCTGCCAAAAGATACTCCCGGTGCAAAGTAAGATTGTGCAAAAGAGACAGAGTGAGTATTGTGCTTTCAGTTCACACTTCAGACCATTTCACAACAGTATCTCCATTTTGGCAAGCCCAGAATCAAGTTGCAGAAGCTTTAGATTTTTCCCTGGGGAAGTGGGCTCCACAAAAGCCACCAGACTTTTGGCACTGCCTGCAGACAGGGAACTTGACTGTGATAGTACTTGTAGATGCCCAAAAGAGCATCTATTAATATTACTGCATTGGCATTTATTGCCGAATCCGTTTCTATAAATAAATAGATCTGTTTGTCTCCTGCATTTTTATTAGAGAACCATCTCCTGTGAATTATGGTAATGTAAAGAGAAACACCAGAAAATTCCTCCCACCTTTAATTGATGCTTTGAAACTACTGAGAGGAAAAAGAGCACAGCAATGATGCATTGTGCTTGTGGGTGGAAGAAACCTTATTTATGAACGTATGTTCTAACAGCAGGATATACTGACTGGAGAACTGCCTGCACGTTTTGAACTAGGAAACATGGACCTAGAGAAACAGGAGAGGTCACCTAAATGGGAAAAGCTTATTTTGGAAGGAGACCAATTTCAGTAAAACAAAATGAAAAAGGAAAATGGCAAACAGTTGTCAGGGAAGCACTATATGGATTTCAGTTCCCACCGGCAGCTGTTGCAGTAGCATTTGGTCTGCTTCAGTGTTTCCAAAGCTCCAGCTTTCTCTTAGCAACAAAAACATAAACAAGCTTATCATCTAATATTAGATCACAGGGATGTCTCCTAACTTGTGGCCTTAAATTATCTGCGTGAAGCCAAAAGGTTAAAGCAGAAGCGACGGCTAGGTCTGGGGAGGAACAACTAGCAAAGTGCTCTGGAGGGCTGTTTTGCATCCTTTGACGGCCAACAAGCCTTACCCTGGCCCACCATAGCATTTCATCTGTGGCGTTTTACCTGCTGCTTGTTTGCTAGCTAAATTGGTCAGCAAATGCTCCAGTAGCTGGAAAATAGCATGAATCACACCTCATGTCGTTACAAAGGGGAGGAAAGAAAAAACAGAAAAGGCGGCAGCACAGGAGAAATCAGTTTGGAGAAATGCAGTGCAGTCTGTCTACCTGGACGGACCACAGCAAATCGCTGCCTGGTGTTAGAGCCATATGTCTCGGATGTTCAGCCAAGCTGCTGCCGTGCATATTTACATGTACCCAGCTGCACGTTCAGCCTCCCTTAATTCCGCTGCAGCACTGCGGTGTGCTGATGCTGAGAGGCTGGAAACATGCCATCTTCCAGAGTCAATATTTTTGCCAGGCAATTTCTTTTTCGTGGGAACTTTGGAGCCCCTGATGAGCACTGCTGTTTGGCCATTTTGATGATCTTCTGTCAGCATCAAATTGTCTCACATTGCAAATGCATTTGTCCAGCTGAACTCAAAACAGCACTGGCTCTGCTAAGGGTGAATTACAAAACGCGTGGATGCTGTGCCTACAGTATCTCACGTAGACCCTGTTCTTCCTGGTGTAAAACTAACATCCTTTTGGTTTCCGCTTGGTGCAAGCAGGTGGTGGGGACTCGGGGGGTCCTGTTGGTTGCAGCCCACTGCTGGGTTATCTGCCTTCATCTGGGATGACAGCGGCCTCTAGTGCCGCCGAAAGCTCCTTTGCAAAGTTCGTCTGTGACCTTGTGCGTGTAGTTTCAGTGCAGGGCTCTGTGGCCACATCTTCTCCCGGGAGTTCTATGCTGCAGCCCCTCTCAAGAGGGTTCCCCGTGTCGCAGGCTCCCTGCGTGCTGGAGGCTGCTTGGAGCTGCGTCCCCTGTGCATGGAGGGGAGTCTGCAGGAGATCTTGCTAAGCTGGAATGTGACTTGTGCCGTGAGATGCTGGAATGTGACTGGTGCTGAAAGGAAGGTCTGGGGGATCTGGGTCTCACTGAAGCCTTTCATATTATGTGAAAACTTCGGTTCCCAAGACAGATTGAAAGGCTGCCGTGCAGCCCACAGCTCGTGGTTAGCTGTCATGTGGGGTAAGACAAGCTTTGCCCAAGAACTTCTGCAAGGCAGATCCCAAGTCTGTGTTCTCAGTTGTGTGACCAGTTTAAAAGGACACTCCTGAATTTGAAATCTGGCCTGGTTTTGTAAGAATTAGGATTTTAATTTGTCCTTCCTCTTCTTTCCCCTCCCCAGCCACTTTGTTTATACAATTGCATTCTGCAATTGTATTTGTTCTTCCTGTTCCTCAGGAAGGTTCCAGCAAGGTGGTAGCACTTGCCATCAGGCAAGCTGTTAGTTAGAGACAGGAAACACGTCTCTTTCTTCCTTATTTTTTTAATGCGCTCTGACCAGTTTTTCAGATAAATCAAGAACGGGAGTGCGGGGGGCTTGTTTTCCTAGCAGCTTTGGGGCTGACGGCTGTGTTCAGCCTGGCTTCTTGCCCCCTAAGTGTCCCCTAGAAATTTTTTTCAGATGAAGAAAGTTCACCGACACGCGAGGTAAATGTCTAGCAAACATTTCTCTCTTCTGCTTCATTCCCAAGAGGAATTTATTTTTCATTCTTTGTTCCTTCATTTTAAGGATCCAGCTGCTAATTATAGTAGCATATATTAATAATATATTAATAACTGAATCCTCCTCCACCAGTACTGTTAGATGAACAATTTTTGGCAAGTCCTTTTAGCTTGTGATTCTTGTCCTGTCCAAATTCAGAGCATGACTCCTCTAGGGTGAACGCGGATGCCCAATATGTCCGTTAACCCTTATTATCTGACAAAAAAAATAAGAAATCCTGATCTCTGTAAAAGTTAAACTATGGGATTTGCATTCAAGGGGTATTTAAATGTCACTTGAGAGGAACTGGTAGAAAAAAGCCGTGAGCATTGTCTTGCTACCACCTTGGGGTTTTTTCAGTAGTATTTGACTTTATAATCCTTATCACTGACTGCCATAAAGCTGAGTGGTCTTAATTCTCCTGGGAAGGGTCCCTGGGGACCAGGGTGGTGGGGATACTCATGTAAAGTGCTGCTGCATGACAAGGGACGGATTCCTGTCCACACTACACAGCGGACAACAAAAAGTTAAGAGTTCTCTCTCTTGTGAAGAACGGAACGATCATCTGGCACCTGCTGTTGAAAGCATTTATCTGCCATGCTTCTCCAGTTAATCTCTTTCAGATAAAGTTGTCCTTTTTTTAAAAGGCTGCTGGTGCAGATGACGTGGGAGGGCAGGAATTCTGCTGGCCATCGGATTGTCCATGTTGGGAAGAGGCGAGATTGCTCTGCTGTATCAGAAATCAGGCTGCATGTTTATTTGGAAAAAGGTCGAGGTGTGGGATGGGGGTCACTGCTGCTGAGCCCTGTTTCCTGTAAAGAAGGCGAGCAGGTGTGCTGCTGCGTGCTCAGCTGCCGACTGACTTTATCCAGTGCTCAGGGGAAGGGGCGGGGGGGGATATTTTGGCATTTGCTTTGGGCGGAGGAGCCCAGGCTGTAGGTTGGCCTGTTTAACTCAAAGCGGGAATATATGTGGGATCCTCCAGGAATGGTCAAGGAAACGAAGCAGGGACCACTTGAGCTAGCCCATGT